AACACACAAACAAAATAGATGATAAAAATTTAAAGTTTCGGGGCCAGGGAGATGGCTCAGTAGAATAAGTGCTTCTCTGGTAAGCCCAAGGGTCTGAGTTCAATCCCCTGTTTCGCAAAAATAAATAAATAAATAAATAAATAAAAGTTTTGTCAAGGTGATATAAAGTAATATGCCAAAAGGATAAGAACTTATAGTCAGGAGCTGGTGAGATGGCACAGTGGTCTAAAGCACCTACTTAGAACAAGCTTAGCAAAGCACAGGGACCGCGGTTCAATCCCCCAGCACCACATGCCAGCCAGCCCCGCCCCCTGGTGGGCTGAGCTGGCCACACACACACACACACACACACACACACAAATAAATAAAATTTAAAAAAAGAAAATAATCTTTAAAAAAAAAAAAAAGAACTTATAGTCAAAAAGCCAGAGAACTTCAATAAATTGCTTGATTTCTCTAAGACCTCAATTACTGTATATACCTAATGGGCAGAACCTGCCCCACTGCCTGGGCTTTGATGAACAATGCACGAGTCGATGTACCTGAAGTGCTGATACGCAGCAGGTGCTAACAAACTGTAGTCCCAACCTTGCACAACACACAATAAGCCGTGGGGAAGGGACCTGCGTTGCAAAGGGCTTCCAGCTGCCACCTATGGGACAAAGGAACCAGACAGGGCAAAGATGTGGTTCTGTTATTAAGATGCAGAAGTTTTTTTTTTTTTTTTTTTTTTTTTTTTTTTTTTTTTGTGGAACCAGGGATTGAACTCAGGCCCTTGCACTTGCCAGGGAAGCACTTATTCCACTGAGCCATCTCCCCGGCCCCAACTATTTTATCTTTTGTCATTTTTGTTATCCTGAGAGTCTGTTGGAAAAAAACCACTGGCTTAAAATAAAGTTTTCTAACTAGACATGGTGGTGCACTGCTGACATCCCTGTACTTGGAAAGGGTAAGACAGGAAGAAGAGTGAGTTTGAGCCTACCGTGGTAACAGGAAGACTCTGGTTTAAAACAAAAACAAAAAGTATCTTTGGGATTACAAGTATAAAAAAAAATTATCCCAAATTTGATCTGGGATAGAATCTTTTTCCTGATGTAAATTACAACTATCTTCAGGGAAGAAATAAATGTATCTAATCTAAACGTTTCAGGTAAAAATTATTTTTTTTTTATTTTTTATTTTTGGTGGAACCGGGGATTGAACTCAGGCCCTTGCGCTTGCCAGTCAAGTACTTATTCCACTGAGTCACTCCCCAGCCCTTAAAAATTAATTTTTGAGGAACACTACAAACTCCTTTCTAGTCCAGTTGTCAGTCAAGAATCTAGTAACCTTTAAATAAAATCACTCTTCAATTTGCATCTAGTGTTCCTTCCTCTATAATCATCTACCTAGAGAATCTGGAATTGGTGTTGCTCTTACAGCATGACCATGATGTTTGACATGTGCCCGTAAATGGTCAGAAGTGCTTTGTTGTTTTTAACTGTAAGAGAGGCCTTAATTCCTACAGAATCAGCTTTGGCCTAAGGGCCAAACTAAGTGACTGCAGCTGTAAAGTGAGTGAAAAGCAAAGCATTCCTTGTCTCTGCTGAGAGGAGTTCCTGCGCCCTTCTGCAGGCCTGGCTCTCGAGGGCCTTCCTGCACCAGCAGGCGTTTTAGAGCCACAGCAGAAGCAGTCAGGGTGAAGACCACACAAAGAATAAATCAGGGAATAAAGACACACCGGAGCTTGGTTTGGTTTTGTGTGTTGACCAGATGACTTCAGAAATCAGTACTATGGAATGGTTTAAAAGACACCATCTCACTCTGAGTCGGAAGGATCACAAGTTCAAGTCCAGCCTAGGCACTAAATTTAGTGATCTGCTAAGACTGTATCTCAGAATTAAAAAATTTAAAAAAGAGTTGGGAGTAGGACAAAGAGGCTCAGGCCTGTAATTTCAGCAATAGGGAGGTTCTGATAGGAGGATCCCTGGATCCCTGCAAGTTTGAGGCCAGTCTGGGCTACAGAGGCAGACCCTGTCTCAAAAAAAAAAAGGTCTGGGTCTGGTATAACTCAGTCCACAGCCCTGGGTTAAATCCCCAGTACTGGGCAGAGAGAGGGGATATCATCTAATTCCACCTGTCCTTCATTTCTTTCTCAATTTCACACTTACGTGCTGCTGAGCTGGGGGTGGTGGCATACACCTGTAATCCCAGCACTTGGGAGGCTGAGGCAGGAGGATCACCAGGAGTTGGAGGCCAGCCTGGGTTGCAAATTGAGTTCAAGGTCTGGCTGAACTACATAGCAAGACCCTGCCTCAAAACAACACACACACACACACACACACACACACACACACACACACCCCGAGCTGCTGAGTGGTACAATTCACTTGTAGATTTGGAGTGCTAATTCTGACGGAATTATAAGAGATCAAATCTAGGACTGCTATCTTCATGTAACAAATCTCGCCCAGCTCGCCTAGCCCTCTCGTCCCGCAGAGATCCTTCCGGTCCGCCCGCTCCGCTTACCGGGGCTCGGTCCTCCGTCTCCCCCTCCTAAGCCTTCCAGAGCCCACGGGGGCGTCTGGCCCGCCTCGCAGCGCGCCCCTGGGGTCCGGCCAGCATTCCCCGTGGCCGCCGCCCGAGGTCCCCGTGGTAACTGCCGGGCTGCGCCGCCGCACGGGTGCGACCCCCCGCGGCGCCGGAGCGAGCTCGTGCCCCCGG